GAACGCTGTGAGTGTGTGTGTGTGTCTGTGTGTGTGTCTGTGTGTGTGTGTGTGTGTCTGTGTGTGTGTGTGTGTGTGTGTCTGTCTGTGTGTGTGTGTGTGTGTCTGTGTTTGTGTGTGTCTGTGTGTGTGTGTGTGTGTGTCTGTGTGTGTGTGTGTGTCTGTGTGTGTGTGTATGTGTGTGTGTGTGTGTGTGTGTGTGTGTGTCTATGTGTGTGTTAGTTAGCATTAGCACATGCTAGCCTCAAAGCTAATAATAACCATTGTAGACGTCTCTCATTACAGTGATACATCGGGCATTACATAAGACTGGTACTCACCTGAATGTGGGTCAAGCAGCAGCAGCAGCAGCAGCAGCAGCAGCAGCAGCAGCAGCAGCAGCAGCAGCAGCAGCAGCAGCAGGGAGAGGGGAGAGAGGGGAGAGAGGGGGAGAGGAGGGGGGAGAGAATACAGTAATTAACATCTGACTGAAGTGAGAGTACAGAGTTTGCACAGTTCAGAACATAAGACCAAGAAGAACCCCCAAAGTGAGTTTAAGACAAATGTTTATGACTCATGTTCTTCAGTGTTTGTTTAAAGATGAAGATCCGTCGGAGGTCCCACAGTGAGTTAAAGATGAAGATCCGTCGGAGGTCCCACAGTGAGTTAAAGATGAAGATCCGTCGGAGGTCCCACAGTGAGTTAAAGATGAAGATCCGTCGGAGGTCCCACAGTGAGTTAAAGATGAAGATCCGTCGGAGGTCCCACAGTGAGTTAAAGATGAAGATCCGTCGGAGGTCCCACAGTGAGGAAATGCCAGTGTTGCAGAACAGGAAGAGAGGAGCACACAGCACAAGATCTCTCTCTCTGGTCTCTCTCTGGTCTCTCTCTGGTCTCTCTCTGGTCTCTCTCTCTGGTCTCTCTCTGGTCTCTCTCTGGTCTCTCTCTGCTCTCTCTCTCTGGTCTCTTACTGGTCTCTCTCTGGTCTCTCTCTGGTCTCTCTCTGGTCTCTCTCTGGTCTCTCTCTGGTCTCTCTCTGGTCTCTCTCTGGTCTCTCTCTGGTCTCTCTCTGGTCTCTCTCTGGTCTCTCTCTCTGGTCTCTCTCTGGTCTCTCTCTGGTCTCTCTCTGGTCTCTCTCTGGTCTCTCTCTGGTCTCTCTCTCTGGTCTCTCTCTCTGGTCTCTCTTTGGTCTCTCTCTGGTCTCTCTCTGGTCTCTCTCTGGTCTCTCTACTGGTCTCTCTCTGGTCTCTCTCTCTGGTCTCTCTCTGGTCTCTCTCTGGTCTCTCTCTCTGGTCTCTCTCTCTGGTCTCTCTCTCTCCAGTCTCTCTCTGGTCTCTCTCTGGTCTCTCTCTGGTCTCTCTCTGGTCTCTCTCTGGTCTCTCTCTCTGGTCTCTCTCTGGTCTCTCTCTGGTCTCTTACTGGTCTCTCTCTGCTCCTCCTCCTCCCTGTCATTAGCTCGCCTCCTCAGCTCTAAACACACCTCCAGAATAAACACAGCCTGCACCAAACAGCAGTTAGCGCTCGCTGCCGCTCAGGCCCTGATCCTCTCACGGCCCTCCTCCTCCAAGTGTCATTATGAGGAGGTGTCATTATGAGGAGGTGTCATTATGAGGAGGTGTCATTATGAGGAGGTGTCATTATGAGGTCTTGATTATGGTTTGGCTCTTGCTCTGGAATTACACAGCAGCGTCTTTAAGTGGCTCCTCAAGAATGACAGAGACACCAAAAAGAAACCAGAGACAGACCAAAGAGAGACCAGAGAGAGACCAGAGAGAGACTGGAGAGAGACCAGAGAGAGACCAGAGAGAGACCAGAGAGAGACCAGAGAGAGACCAGAGAGAGACCAGAGAGAGACCAGAGAGAGACCAGAGAGAGACCAGAGAGAGACCAGAGAGAGACCAGAGAGAGTGACCAGAGAGAGACCAGAGAGAGACCAGAGAGAGACCAGAGAGAGACCAGAGAGAGTGACCAGAGAGAGTGACCAGAGAGAGACCAGAGAGAGACCAGAGAGAGACCAGAGAGAGACCAGAGAGAGTGACCAGAGAGAGACCAGAGAGAGACCAGAGAGAGAGCAGAGAGAGACCAGAGAGAGACTGGAGAGAGAGACCAGAGAGAGACCAGAGAGAGACCAGAGAGAGACCAGAGAGAGACCAGAGAGAGTGACCAGAGAGAGACCAGAGAGAGACCAGAGAGAGACCAGAGAGAGAGACCAGAGAGAGACCAGAGAGAGAGAGACCAGAGAGAGAGACCAGAGAGAGACTGGAGAGAGACCAGAGAGAGACCAGAGAGAGACCAGAGAGAGACCAGAGAGAGACCAGAGAGCGACCAGAGAGAGACCAGAGAGAGACCAGAGAGAGACCAGAGAGAGACCAGAGAGAGACCAGAGAGAGACCAGAGAGAGACCAGAGAGAGACCAGAGAGAGTGACCAGAGAGAGTGACCAGAGAGAGACCAGAGAGAGACCAGGGAGAGACCAGAGAGAGTGACCAGAGAGAGACCTGAGAGAGACCAGAGAGAGCAGAGTTGACCACAGAGAGAGACTGACCAGAGAGGAGAGAGTGACCAGAGAGACCAGAGAGAGACCAGAGAGAGAGAGACCAGAGAGAGACCAGAGAGAGAGAGAGACCAGAGAGAGTGACCAGAGAGAGACCAGAGAGACCAGAGAGAGAGACCAGAGACAGACCAAAGAGAGACCAGATAGAGACCAGAGAGAGACCAGAGAGAGCGAGACCAGAGAGAGACCTGAGAGAGACCAGAGAGAGAGACCAGAGAGAGACCAGAGAGAGAGACCAGAGAGAGACCAGAGAGAGAGACCAGAGAGGGACCAGAGAGACCAGAGAGAGACCAGAGAGAGACCAGAGAGACCAGAGAGAGAGACCAGAGATGTTGACACATCTGTATAATCATATGACGTTGATTAACAGTTTTATGGTGTATTGTCGTGTTTCATGTTGTTTATTTTCTCCTTGACACTTTTACATAAGAACATATTTATCGTAGTGTCTGTGTTCTTAAAGCTCGTTGTTATTGACTTGTTCGTACGTCCTTCTGATTCTCTTGTTTGTGTTCCTGCTTCTGAAGTCAACACTTTGATTGTTGTTTTTGATGGCCGCTTCCAAAACTGATCTGAATTTAATCTTTTCGTTCCTTCATAAAGGCGTTGTCCTCGTCTCCAGACGCTTCATCAGATATCAGCTGCATTCATAAAAGTCTGCTAATGATTGTGTCACCAGCATTCTTCATTTCCCGCCTTTAATTGATCTCCGAAGCTGTGTCATCCATCTTCCTGCTGCTCCGTGTCTGATAACAGTGCGAGGCATGCATCATAAATGTGGGACTGCAGAGAGCTGCCTGTCTGCACCAGCCACACACACCGTCCCCACACCGTCCACATACCTGTCTGCACCAGCCACACACACCGTCCCCACACCGTCCACATACCTGTCTGCACCAGCCACACACACCGTCCCCACACCGTCCACATACCTGTCTGCACCAGCCACACACACTGTCCCCACACCGTCCACATACCTGTCTGCACCAGCCACACACACCGTCCCCACACCGTCCACATACCTGTCTGCACCAGCCACACACACTGTCCCCACACCGTCCACATACCTGTCTGCACCAGCCACACACACCGTCCCCACACCGTCCACATACCTGTCTGCACCAGCCACACACATCGTCCCCACACCGTCCACATACCTGTCTGCACCAGCCACACACACTGTCCCCACACCGTCCCCACACTGTCCCCACATCGTCCACATACCTGTCTGCACCAGCCACACACGCTGTCCCCACACTGTCACCACACTGTCCCCACACTGGCCACACACTGTCCCCACACTGTCCACACACCGTCCACACACATTGTCCCCACACTGTCCTCACTGTTCCCACACTGTCCCCACACCGTCCACACTGTCCCCACACTGTCACCACACTGTCCTCACACTGTCCCCACACCGTCCACACACACTGTCCCCACACCGTCACCACACTGTCCCCACTCTGTCCAGCGAGTGTTAACTCTGCACAGTCTTGAATTGAAGCGCTGAGATTTTCTCGGTCTTTTTACATGAAATATTCTGTAGAAATGTATCTTTGTTTTGATTGAGACTGAAATGAGGTTGTTTTATTCATTAGTTTTAATCCTGTAAAGAAGTCGTTAGGATCCACAAGATCAGAGATTTATGGATCTGTACAAGTCTGATCAGGAAGTGCGTAGGGTCATCACAGGGTGAATGTGGTGGTCATGAGCCTCAGTCCTGTCAGTTTGTAGAACGAGTACATAATGCAGTGTTTAGTTGTGGTTGAAAAACTGTCTCTGTGGCTCCAAACATTTGTTCAGGTGTTTGTTCCCCCCCCCCCCCCCCCCCACCGACCACCTGTGATCCCCCAGTGATGGTTCAGGTTAATGACGTCTGTGTGTTGCGTGTCTTTGCCGCTCTCTGCAGCAGATGTGTGCCACTCTGCGTTTGCCGTAAATAATGTGACGTCTTCATCATCTTCATCGTGTGTCTGCTCTGACAGCCGGAGCGTGGCGGCGGCGAGCACCACGGCGCCACGGCACAATTAGCACGCCGCCCCACCTATTAACATCGCCCCATTAACCAAGTCTCGCGGGATTTACACGGACGAGAGGACGGGTGATTGACGGGCGCTGTGGGAGGCGTCTACTGGTGTCACATGACCACCTGTGTCACATGACCACCTGTGTCACATGACCACCTAGAGACTGAGTGTGTGGTTCGTTTATTTAGTGATATTAAAATATGCCCTGTTTCCACCGGCCCATGTCTACTCTGCTCTACCCTACTCTACTCTACCCTACCCTACCCTACCCTACTACAATACTCTACCCTGATTGGAAGAGTACTCCACCGGCCCTGTTTAACTGGTACCAGGTCCTTCTTTAGCCGTGGTTACCAAGGAAATTCCCCAGATAGTGGTTTGTTGTGGGTAGGTTGCTTGGACACGGAACTAGATAATAAAGCATAATGTAAACACAACCAGGAAGAGTAGAATAGAGTAGAGTAGGGTAGGGTAGGCTAGGGTAGGGTAAGAGTAAGAGTTAGAGTAGGGTAGGGTAGGGTAGGGTAAGAGTAAGAGTAAGAGTTAGAGTAGGGTAGGGTAGGGTAGGGTAAGAGTAAGAGTAAGAGTTAGAGTAGGGTAGGGTAGGGTAGTAAGAGTAAGAGTAAGAGTTAGAGTAGGGTAGGGTAGGGTAGGGTAAGAGTAAGAGTAAGAGTTAGAGTAGGGTAGGGTAGGGGTAGAGTAGAACACACTGGCTTCAGTAACATGCTCCTTTTATGGTCGTGTTGTGAACAGGAAGTGAATGAACCTGTTTCTATTGTTGTGGCATCCTCACCAAGTAAATATCTGATCGTGAAATTCATGACCTAATGATTTAATAATTCATAATTAGGGTCAGTGGAACCCCCCCCCCCACCCCCCCCCCCTCTCCCCCCCTCTCCCCCCCCGTCCCTGAGTGGCCCGTGCTGGAGCAGCCCTCACAGACAGAGGTGTTCTCCTGTTGCAGTGTGGAAGTCATTTGGAAATCTGCAGGAGGCTCGGAGCTGCTGTTGATGAAGTGGACGACAGTGGAAGCTCTGGGTGGGGGGGTTACAGGGAGGGGGGGTGTCTCTGGAAGGTTCTGTCCCAGTGCCTGTCCCTGTTCCCTGGGGGGGTGATTGCCCCACCCCAGCAGATGTGCAGGGCTCTGGGCCGTCTGCTGACCATACACTGACCACATGGAGCAGAGGCTGTGTCCTGGGGGGTCCTGGGGGGTCCTGGGGGGTCCACGAGGGACTCATGGGAGCATCAGCAGCAGTGTGTGGAGTGTGTACACAACAATACTGTATTTCAAACTGGTTTTCACAATACTTCATATTGTGTTGTTCAGGCTTAAATGGTTCACCCAAAAAACAACTGTTTTGTTTATCCCTAATTGAGATTTGGTCACACACACATAACACACACACACACACACACATAACACACACACATACACGAACACACACACACACACACACACACACACTTACACCCACACACACACACACACACATACACACTTACACCCACACACACACACATAACACACACACATAACACACACACACCTACAAACACACACATACACACTTACACCCACACACACACACATAACACACACACGTACACACATACACACCTACAAACACACACATACACCCACACACACGCGCACACACACTTACACCCACACCCACATAACACACACATACACACACCTACAAACACACACATACACACTTACACCCACACACACACACGCACGCACACGCACACACGCACACACACACGCACACACACACATTATAATATGTTTTAATAAACTTTGAACCAGTCCGGACCTCAACTTGTAGCAAATTATTTGTTTGGCCTCTGTCTGATGTATTTGACTTTGACTTGAGTCACAGAGGAACAGGACCCTCAGATGGAAATGACCAGAGGAACCTCAGAGGAACCTCAGAGGAACCTCAGAGGAACCTCAGAGGAGCCTCAGAGGAACCTCAGAGGAACCTCAGAGGAACCTCAGAGGAACCTCAGAGGAACCTCAGAGGAGCCTCAGAGGAACCTCAGAGGAACCTCAGAGGAACCTCAGAGGAACCTCAGAGGAACCTCAGAGGAACCTCAGAGGAACCTCAGAGGAACCTCAGAGGAACCTCAGAGGAGCCTCAGAGGAACCTCAGAGGAACCTCAGAGGAACCTCAGAGGAACCTCAGAGGAACCTCAGAGGAACCTCAGAGGAACCTCAGAGGAACCTCAGAGGAACCTCAGAGGAGCCTCAGAGGAACCTCAGAGGAACCTCAGAGGAGCCTTTGCTCTACTGGATGGATTTTATTTCATGTTTAAAACATCTCAATACTGAACCGAACTCTTACCTATTTGGATCTGAGGACAATGATGTTGACAAATGTGCTCTATAAATAAACTTGACCAAGGCCTCATGATCAGGGACATTTCTGGAAAAAGTGGTCATCAAGCTCTGGTCTCGCTCTGGTCTCTCTCTGGTCTCGCTCTGGTCTCTCTCTGGTCTCGCTGTCTCTGGTCTCTCTCTGGTCTCGCTCTGGTCTCTCTCTGGTCTCTCTCTGGCTCTCTTGTCCTCCTGGTCTCTCTCTGGTCTCTCTCTGGTCTCGCTCTGGTCTCTCTCTGGTCTCTCTCTGGTCCCTCTCTGGCCTCTCTCTGGTCTCGCTCTGGTCCCTCTCTGGTCTCGCTCTGGTCTCTCTCTGGTCTCTCTCTGGTCCCTCTCTGGCCTCTCTCTGGTCTCTCTCTGGTCCCTCTCTGGTCTCTCTCTGGTCTCTCTCTGGTCTCGCTCTGGTCTCTCTCTGGTCTCTCTCTGGTCCCTCTCTGGTCTCTCTCTGGTCTCGCTCTGGTCCCTCTCTGGTCTCGCTCTGGTCTCTCTCTGGTCTCTCTCTGGTCTCTCTCTGGTCTCTCTCTCTGGTCTCTCTCTGGTCCCTCTCTGGTCTCT